GGGGAGGGGAGACCCAACAAACAGGACGTGAGTCTCCAGGTGGGCTGGATGGGTTCCAAATCCACCCGGTTGTCTGTCCCTAACACTGACATCTTTGGACCATAAAAATGGACTCATTCATGTATTTATTACTTTTTAATTTTTATGTTCTTTCCTCTAGCTTTATGGATGTATAATTTAAAAATAAAAATTATATGTATTTAAGGCACATAGCTGAGGTTTTGATACACATATATGTTGTGAAATGATTACCACAATTGACCTTCTTGGCCTGTGGCTTCCAGTTGGTTTTGGCCAATGGAAACCACCTTGAGGATATTAGAAAAAGGGAAGAGGTTGAGGTCAGAGAATTTGTTCCTTTAGATCCATGACCTGGCACTGCAAGTCCTACCAATGACAATTTCTTATCTTTTTTTTTTTGTCTTTTTGACACGACGCTCCTCATGTTCGTCCTGCGGCTGGCAGTGCCCTTGGCGATAGGCCTAGCTCACAGCAGCCTCAAACTTCTCAAACTCCGGGCTCCAAGCGACCCACACCTGCCCTCAGCTCCTGAGTAACTGGGGACTACAGGGGCACACCATGATGTCCTGCGCTATTTTTCTACTTTTACGTAGAGACGCGGTCGTCGCGCGGCTCAGGCTGGGTCTTGACTCCGCGACCTCAAGATCCCTCGCCTCCTGCTTCCCCAGAAGTGCTGGGGAAGACCGGCGTGAGCCACCCGAGGCCCCCCCGTACTGCGATGTTCTTATTCTTGTCTGGCTGGTATATTTCTCAGCAGCGTCACGTGTAATCTACAATACTTCTTCAGCTACCCTCGAGATCTTCGTTTCACATAAACTTAAAGAGAGACACATAGAGACATCTCCCATCGACGACCTGTGCTTTAAATTAACTATCTGACTTTTTTCTGGCGACCGTACCATCCACCCCCGCGGCCCCCAGCGCGCCCGCGGGCCACTGTCCTTCTTTCCCCGACCGATGTTTCGTGTTTGGCTAATCAACTACTTGATCACAACAGATATAAGAACTAGAAACGGCAAATTTCTTGTCTAGATCGTTATGGAAAATGAGGTTCCAAAAAAAACGCAGAAAAACCATAGTCGAAGGCACATGATTCTCTCGCCGAAAAGCAGACGAGGCAATTGACGTTCCTTGTTTCACCCATATCGGCACCACGGACATTTTTCTGTCTATTGTACGTTCCACGCAGAGCCAACAATCCACGTACCAGGTCTACGCCATCTTTCAACCACTCTTCTGAGAGTGCTACTCGCCATCATGCGACCGCTGTTTTCATACCTGAAACACCCGTGGCTCGTGTGCTGACACACCATCCACCCACCCACCAGCCGTTCCGAAGGTATTCCTTCATGCCTCTAAAACGGAACTTCCATCCCCATGTAACAAATCTCCCCACCTGTCGTCCCACTCCTCAGCCACGCGCCCATCCCTGATTTGCACGCTTCGCATCTAGGATGCATAAATATAGCCATTCTGGAAACTCTGCCTGCCTCAGTACCATAGCCACCGCACAGTTACATGTGCATCTCCGTCCGGAGCTCTGGGTTCGTCGCCGCTCACTGGCGTAGTCAGCTGTTTTCTGGTTCTCCTTGGAGCCCTGTGTCACACGGGCTGTCCACCTCCGCTGTTCGGCGGCGCAATACTAGATTCTAAGCCTCCTGTATCCGATCGGCACCGCACGATGTGTACCCCCTTGGCCCCTACCCCCCGGGCATGTCGGCCATCTCGCACCGCGCTGTTTCGCACGTTTTGGCGCTATTACATGCCATCATGCTGCTATGAACCCATTTTACAGAATCTAAGAGATAAATCATATAGATTCACAACTATGACACAGAGACACACTGTATACAAGAAAGACATCTAGATTTACACACACAATAATCGAGGGAAAGAGGAGGAGACAAACAAGATTATTAGGCAGACCTAACAAATATCACGCCAGTATACAAGAATTTTCTGCTTTCAATACACATTCTGTGCAGCTTCTCTCGGGTTCACACACAAGGAAGAATAAACATATTATACATCACCATACAACAGCACACAGACACATTCATACACATAAAATCATATCATCGACACGCAACTCGAATATATTTGAGAGACTTATACACATAGACATACATGATAAGAGAGAACATAGATATATAGATCACATAGAAATAAAACAAACAATATATATAGATCAGCAGACATAGGCATTACTACAGAATATTCATATTATTACATCATTAAAACATTACATCCATATATATTATAAGCACACACAGACATACAGAGGAATAAGAATACAAAGACAAAACCACCAAATCACACAAACAAAAAACACGCATTATAAATATAATAGCATTATATAAATAATATACATATACATAGATATTAGAATAGAACAGAACAGATTAGAAAAAATATATACATACTCACTTCCGGACATGGCATCGAGCTATACATCTCACAAATTCATAGAAATGATATATAAAGTAAAGGCACACAATGAGAGGCGAGACTGGCAGCATAATTAAGCACATACAACACGAGACATACGCACACACCACCATGAGATGGAAAAGAAACGAAAAAACAGCACATATAAGCAGACAACACACGACGAGACACATATAAGAATAACACATATCATCATATAATACTATCACCAAGAATAGTTACAAGACCATTTCTATAGGAGAATCTTATATAATCATATAGCATTAGAATATGACACAGTCACAGACCAAACATTTATGGAAGCATCACATGATAAGAAGAACGAGAAACGCAACCACACAACTCCAACATAGGATATCACAATAGAAATCAAATTAATTATACAAAAATCATATTTCACATAGACAAGAAACAGGAGATAACGAGCACGATGCACATACAAGAAAATAAATAAAGACATATCATATCAATATATATATATATATAGGATCAGGACATACTTACAGAATTATATTCAGAAATATAATGTAATATACAGCATATTTCCATACACACAGACACATATAAGCGCGCTTTCACAGATTGTGCCTTTCCCCCAACCCACACAAGGTCTGGTTCCAGCGTGTACCATCCCCCAGACGGCGTGCCCACCATGTCTCACCTGCATTAGTGTATGTGCTACACCCACCGCCTTGCCCCTCCACCCTGCCAATAGCCCAATTACCTGTAAGTTCTATGCCTGCTCCACCGCGTTCGATGCTCCAGCTATCAATACCAGTCTTGGCTGTGAGGTATAACGTAGCTGAGACCACTTGTTTTTCCATTCCTTGGGACATACTGTCATTAGTGGCTATCGGGTCGAGCTCGTCACCACCAGGGAAACATACCAAGGTATGCTACTCACCGTCTGTTTCTTTAGAGCTGAATAGCTACTCGCCACTGGTCGTACTACAATATAGCGCGAGACTTTTAATCAATCACCCCATCGATTCCGATGGGCACTTGGGTCTGTGTTCCAGAGGCCTTCGCCAACTATGAATTGTGCCATGCTCAGTAAACGTGTATCAACGTCTGGAGGGTGCTTTTTTTGTAGGAATTCGTCAATGCTGGGAGTTCATTTGCGGCTACGGATGCCGCAGTAACTGGCAGTTGCTGAATCAAATGGTACGATCCGCACTTGTACCGCTTTAGGTATCCTCCTATTCGCTTTTCCACAGAGGTTTAGAAACTAATTTGCATCCCCACCAGCATGCTAGTGTTCCTCTCTCGTGCATCCATCCGCCAGCATTATTGTTTGGGGACTTTTTGAATAAAGGCCATTCTGCAACTGGAGTTGACGGGCGGAAGGTGCGTTAGTCTGCATTGTGGTTGTTTTGATTTTGCATTCTCTGAATGATGATAGAGGATATTCCAGCATTCGTTTTCCATGTTTTCGTGCCAGTCGTTCTCGTCGATCATGCCTTCTGAAAGTTTCTGTTCATGTCCTTTGCCACACTTCTTGATAGGTGTTTTGATTTTTTCTTCTTGCTGTTTTTCTGTGAGTTCGTAAGTAGATGTCTACGTTAATGCAAGCCCCACCCGCCATGTATCAAGATGGGGTTCAGGGATTCGCAAATGTGTCTCCCCATTCTGCTGGAGTTTCCCTCTTGTTAGCTTGCTTCATGACTATTTCTTTGGCTGTGCAGAAGCTTTTCAGTTTGATCATGTCCCATTTATTTATTTCTGTTGCTGCTGTGATTGCCTTTGGGGTCGTCTTCATAAATTCTTTGCCTAGGCCGATGTCTAGGAGAGTGTTTCCAACATTTTTCTTAGAATTCTAATAGTTTCATACCTTAGGTTTAAGTCTGTTATCCAGCGTGAGTTGATTTTTTTTAGAGGCGAAAGGTGTGGACAATTGTGATTTCAATACAGTTAGACAATGACAGACTGGACCTCTCCACTTGTCATTCACAAGATGACCCAGCAAACGTGTCCAGTGGTACGTGGAGAGGCTGACCAGCAGCCCCCCCTTAGCAGCCATCACTGGGGGATTGTTTCAATACTTTATTGCATTTGTGCTTATTAATTTATAAAAATAAATGAGAAACAGAAAGATGAAGGTGCTAATCCTAGGGACAATACGGCCATGTTTCATCAATGTAGTAAAATGAGACAAGAAGTAAATCACTAGATGTGAATTTGGACTTGCCAGACTTGGGGGTGTTTGTCATATCCATGCTGGATCTGACCAAGGGTCTTCTAATGCAAATGAGACAAATATTTCAGTACACCGTCCCAGTAAGGCCCGTCAGGAATTTTCACCAGCCAAGTTTTGACAGATCTGTGTAGGCATGTTGGGTGGCCCTATCCCAGAGTCCAAGACTATGGGGAAGTCGTTTTCCCAGAGTGGGTCACTGAGAAGTGATTCTGAAATGGGACACTGGGTAACACAGATGTGCTGACTCCTCCCTTCCACTCCCTGGCCTTCAGCTCTTGCAGTAAAACTTCAAGTGTCTCTTCAGAGTTGGACCCACTTCCTTGGCATCCACGAGAGTTGAATCCACTCTCCGTTGTTTATTTGGCTTGCCCCATTTTGAACACCATCAGCATTTCCAAGTTCATTTCCCAGGGCACTTTAATCTGGCCCATGCTAGTACTGCAGGATTTAAATTACTGTAATGAAAGGAGAAGTAATGCACCTCGGACCATTAGGCAAACTCCCTGACCAACCACCCAGCCTTCGCGTCTACCCACAAGACTCCTTGAGAAATCAGACCTCCCGATAAGTGGCCGTGCGCTTCCTCTTCTGTCAGTTCTGAGGAGCTACCAGGCTGCGTTGGAGGCAAGGACTTCTCATCTCTGCGGTGAGTAGGCACAGTGTCTTCTCATAAAAAAAAAATTGAAAAAAATATTTTACTTGTGATTGTGAGTCTAGAAAAATACTCTGGGTCTGGAAACCTTTTCGAAGAGACCTCATTCCATGCCCCGTTGCTTCATTTCTTGCAGGCGGACAGGCAGCATCTGTCTCAGGTGTGTTTGTTCCCTTCTGCCGGGACGGGGGTGTGTGATGTTACGTGGGGGTGTGCAGCCCACCCAGATGTCCCGCTCACTCAGGGCAGGTGGCGAATTGTGTCTTAGGGGGTTTCGGGTGGACTAAAATGATAATGTTTCAAGAAAAAAGGAGCCTATAGCAAATGTAGCATATAACCAACTTGTTGTGAAAAGTGAGGAAAACAAGATCTTAAGAAAATGAGTGGCTTTCCTGAGGTTGCATGGTGAGTAAAGACCTTTTTCATACACCTCAGCCCCATAAGAAACCACGTCAGCGCACAGGTCAATGCCAGGTTTATATATATGTGTGTGAAGGTGTTGTTGTAATGTTTCTGATTTGTGTGTTAAAGTAGAGAATGCAGGCGACGTTTTCAACCAGTTGTTATGACACTTTGGAAGGGGTTGTGTACAAATTATCACTTAGTGACATAACAACCAGCCTGGCAAAATTTTAAATATTGAAAAGATCAATGGCCGGGTGAGGGTGGCTCACTGTGTCTTGTAATCCTGCACTTGGGAGGCTGAGGTGGGGGATTTCTTGAGGTCAGGAGTTCAAATACCAGGCCTGGCAGCCTGAGCAAGCAGTGGAGACCTGTCTCTATTATAAATAGAAAGAATTTAATTGGCCAACTAATATACAGAGAAAAAATTAGACCGGGCATGAGTGGCTCATTCGAGTTAGTCCCAGCTGATTTGGGGGCCGAGGCAGCAGGATTTCTTGAGGCCCAGGAGTTTGAGGTTGCTGTTAGTATAGGCTGATGCCCACCAGCACTTCAGCCTGGGCCAAAGAAAGTGGAGACTCTATCTCTAAAAAAACCAAAACAAACTAAAAAAAAAAAAAAAGAAAAGAAAAAGGATCCATGATTATGAATATCAGAATGCTGTACGTAGTTTTATTTTGTGAAACTTCATTCATCTCTCTCTCTGTGTGTCTCTATCTGTCTTCTTCTGGAATGC